AAGCAAGAATCACTGGGAAAGTGGTTCAAACATAGGCAAAGTAGGCAGTGCAGGACCACATTAATATCCTCATCCAGATGGGCTGCCTGCCGTGGCGGTTTTCAAATCCTGAAGGAACACATCCACAGGAGAGGTAAATACCTGCAGGATCGGGAGAAACTAATGGTGTGGTACAAGACCGCACAAAAATCCGAGACCGAGGAGATAGAAGACCCCCAATCCAAAAGTCAAGAGAGGAAATCCACATGACTAAGAACAGTGGGTTGATCAGGGAAAACCCTGGACCCAGAAACCAAGGATGGAAAAATTCCATTTGCGTTGAGAAACTTCCATGTAGGAAGGACAAATGAAACAAACCAGAAAAAGAGGCTAACTGTTAGGAGATGCCGGATCACCTTGCCAATGACCAGAGGAAAACTAGGCATGAAGACAGAGGACAGGAATGTCTGGATGAAACACCAGTGACTCAGAGTGGCAAAGAAGGGACGGAGACAAAAGAAAAGGTAATGGAGGAGGAAGTTTGATCTGGAGAAGCTGCAGAAACCACAACTGAGATTGCCAGGAAAGAGCTATCAGAAGGACTGAACACAGAGTATGAAGGATGAATGAAATCACCCAGAGAAGGAGAATGGGAGGATAGATAAATGTGTAGGTCTAATCCTGGCTGAAAACATTGATAGCCAGAGCAAGAAGACGAAGAGCCGGAGACCAAAACCAACGCAATTTGTGGTTAAGTGATGTAGCAAAAGCCTCAATGTAAGGAGTACCCATTAAAGTCAAAGTCATCGCAAAACAAAAGGATCCAGAGACCACTCTGTCAGATAAATGTTCTCTGGACTGGAATCCGATCCACGACAAGAGCGAAAGCCCCAAAACATGACATGCAATGATAGGAATATTGAGTGTGTGGGCCAAAAAAATCAAACATATGAATACAGAGGGATAGAGAACAGGTGCCACCTTGGTGATTTAGATAACAAACCACTGAAGAAAAGTTGGAATGGATCATTATCAGACGATTTCAGATCAGATGGAGAAAATGAACCATAAGACTACCAACAGCGAGAAGCTCCAGGAAAATGATAGGATAAGACTTCTCATCTGAAGATCAAAAACCCCAATTCTTCCAGTTGATCAACCCTCGCTCCTCATTTCCAAACGGATGAGTTCACAAAATCTGAAAAACCCATGCAGTTATATCTAACTGCCAATGCTGATCGATGACAAGGGTATGAAGAAGGGTAGTATGAGCCAACAAAGGGTCCCTGCAAAATTCCATTGGTCATGAAAAGCCCACAAAAATGCCTGCATATGAGCCTGACTTAAGAGGATTTGGGCTATCATGGAAGATCACATCCCCAAAAGTGATAGAACTTTGTGAGTTGTAATCAAACTGAAAACCCATTGAAGAAAGTCTAAGAGGAGATGGGCGGGCCCAACTGAGATCTGTGTAGAAAAAGAAAAACACCCAAATGGAAAAGATATTGGATAGGTCACAGTAAGGACTTCTCCAACTTGATTAATAGCCCATTATAGCTGCCTCCAGGAGCAGCTTATAAGGGTAACAGGCAAACTACTATTTGTAATGAGCGAACAGTAGCCAGTCCACCAAAGGAGGAGGAACGCATAACCGAAGAGCACATAGGTGAAGTACAATGGCTCTGAATGGCTGACAAAACATACAGGGCTAAAGCAAGTCTGAAGGGCAGTGCACAAAACAGAGGAACAACCCTGTGGAGAATAAACTGAAGAGAGGATCACGAGTGACAAAATATCGGGATATACAAATAATCATTCGTGACATTCTTCTTTGTCATTGATAAACCTGGAGAAAAAACTCACCTAAGGCTGAAAAACGACTCGAAAGTAAAAACACGGCAGACTGAAACTGAGAATGAGGTGGAACAAACCTAGTACAGGCCACCAGTCTCTGGTTTGGTGTGAGGACAACAAATAGCCTGTAGTGACAGAAAATCTTGTACCTCCTTGGATAGATGCAGGCTGGTTGCATGATCTCGAGTCATGGGGAAGGAAAAGGGTACCAGGGACAAAGGAGGTGGGAAAAGAAATAGTAGGACAAGTCCCTCTGATAAAACCTGAAGAACCCATGGAACTGTAGTGAAAGATCACCAAAGGGTAACAATATAATATAGTAAAGTAAGTCTCTGGTACTGTTGGCGACATGCCCATCTACGTTAAATAAAATAACAAGATGAGAAATCCCTGGAAGGAGATAGGGACAGGTGAATAAGGACCAAGACAGGAAAGAATAGGGACGTGTCTTGAATCCAACTGCAGGAAACATGAAACTGATTAGGAAGAGTTTAGTGTTCATGCATAATTACATACAAGATTCCAAATTCTCAGATACATGATAGAAAACATATCACCAAAGAAAAAATACAGAAAACTAGAAAAGAAAGACACAACTACAGAGATACCACATGTGTAAAACAAGAGCCAAAGACAACAAACGAGCCAACATGGAGGTAATAAGAAATTATAGAAAAAATGGGGAATTGGATAAAACATCGAAAAATGCCATATTAGGCCTAGCTGATTCTGAAGGAGGGATAGGGATAAAACAGGGCAAAATCCGGTGGTGTCAAAAAGCTGTCAAATCTTCCTTGGCTCAAACAGGTTCAGCTTGTTCAGAAGAAAAAGGTTGACCTATATAACAATCAATCTCATGATGGATAATAGCAGAGAAATCCAACGACATGTCTCTCCCACCCGCAGCCTGTAAAAATAGTGCTAAAGGCTGGGAAATTAAGTTAAAAGATTTTTTCAATGTAAAGAAAAAATAATAATAATGAAGAAATCCCACTTCTGAAATTAAACTATTAAAATAATGATTCACACGAAGAGCACCAAAAGAAAAAAAACCTAAACACAAGTACTGCTAAACAAGAAGTGATAGTTTGGCATAATTGAATAGAGGTAGTCACATGTGTCATGAGAGTATGTCAAACTCTTATTTGTAGAGGATTGACGCATGATGATTTTCATGAGAGACACATTGGAATCAGTCAATTCCAATGGAGGGGAGATAGAAGGCTTGTGGCATGCATAATTTTTTTTGCATACAGTGGGCAGCACTGAACAGGAATAGCTAATTATTTGAGAAGAGGTAATGTTCAGCATTAGATTGAAAGATGTGAATCATGGTTGTCCAGTGAAAGCAAGACTTTTGTCTCAGGAGAAGCTCTGATGTGCTTGGCAAGGTGGCAAATAATCACTGTAAAGTCTTCTTCTTGCATCCGGCCTGAACCATTTTCAGTCCCACTGTAGATACATGGGGGTCCATCTCACAAAAATGAGTATGGTATTCCTTACATAGAAAGACAAAAATTGGAGCAATAATACTGCTTAATGCATTAACTGCAAGGGCAATTGAGATAAGAACACTGTGCTCTACACTTGTTTAGCATTACATTTGGCAACAAAATCTGTCTGGTGTTTGTGCAGTTGTGATTCCTGTTTCAACCACATGTTTAAGATCCAATTTGTGTTTTTAACTAAAACTTCCTTTAGGTTTTTAAAGAATATAGACACATTTATGAGACTGAAACTAGTTTCTTGAAGACTTCTGATGATAAGTTGCTGGTATCTCTTTAAATATGAAGAAAATCAACCTGGACCACCCATTTCATTTTTACTCCATGACACTTTCAATTATATGCTTTTACAAGCTGACAGGCAAGCTTGTGCACCTGCAAAAATAAAGAAAAAAATCCAACAATAAATTAACATGTTTTAATTCAATATGCCTTTCTTTTACTTTTAAAAAAAAGAGGTTCATATACGAGAAGAGGTTAACATGAAAATAAATTAAAGTACAATAAATCCTGTTGGGATCCCTCCTGTTATCTGATCACCTGTATATTCTATATTGGATAGCTTTTTCTATCCTTTAATTAACTATTTTGGGCCTGAAAACGTTGTACACAAAAATGTATAGTCTATAATACAAGTCCACAGCCTTCAGCAGATATTCTGACAGATTTTTTTCCAATTAATCAGTGAACACTCATAATGCAATGAGGTAGTTAATCTTTGGCAATTTCATAAACTTTTTAGCAGCTACCCTTCTCCTTGCCTTGCAATAACAGGCCAATGTCACATGGCAAATATTGAATATTTTTGTCACAGTTTGCACTGGTTTTCCCTTATTCTGCACTTCATTTGATGCTTTATCTGTATTTCAAAAGATACTCCCCTACTTGTCTTTTCCTAACTCAAGGTATGCAAAAAAAAGACCTAGTGTTATATGGGGTCAATTGTAACAAAAGTTACAACTAGCTTCTACCCAGTGAGATATTACTAAACCTCAAGTTCAAGGAAGAAACAACAAAATTAAGAGCACTCCAACTGTATTAATTATAGACACAGAAATCAAGGATGAGAATGAGAAAAGTTTTAATTATAAATTGTATAACACAGGTGTATATCAAAAAAAGAAAACTAGGAGAAAACATTTACTCACCTAGGTCAAAATAGTTTTTTGGAGATAAAATCTGAAAGATTTGGTACAGGAAGCTCCTCTTCCACAGGCAGATGGAACTCAACATGTGCAGAGTAACTGATGTCACTCTAGCTTGCTTCTGATCATAGGAATTCAATGTGTTACAACTGTCCCCAGTCTCCCCTACATTATACTAGAATGTCATCACTAAATGATATTACTTTATAAAACAGTAAATTTTACTAGTGTGCCATCACTAGATGGTGTTCACTTTTCTAAGAGTATATTACAGAAACATGTCATCACTAAATGGTTTGGTCTAATAGTACATTATTCTAGCATGTAATCTCTAAATGGTGTTAACTTGTGTAATAGTAGCATGTCTCCACTATACAATGTTAGCTTATCATTACAAAATGCTACTTTCCTCTTCCCTTTTGTGTTTGAATATAGTTATGACCAAAGATTACTACAATGCCTACCACAGAGAAATATTTTAATCTCTCCATACACCTGACAACTAAATGCAGCTCACCTAATGGACGTCTTCCAAAATCATCTTGTATTAGGCAGTCAGCTCCATAGTCAATTAACACTTGAGATACTCCAATACACAAGTTTGTTGCAGAAATATGTAATGGCGTTCCACCATCAAACTCTCGACAAGGACTGTTTATATCTAATGCAGAATTATTATAAGTTAAATGAGTATTATATGTAAAAATTAGCAGTGTAGTGAGTTACAGTAAACATTTCAAATCTGATACATAATGCTATATCAACATAGCAAAAAATTATAAAAAACTGTTTTATTTGCTTTGTCAATTTGTGGTAAGGAAACCACAATTACTAACTATATCTTATTTTTAAGCCAATTCTTCTAAAATAGACTGATTCCAACACCATTTCCTCCCTCCTCATCAGTAATTTTGTACTACATCAATGCAAAAAGTATAACACTACTTAGGCCAATTTAGTTCATTTAATAGTATTTATACTGCTGGTTCTTATAACAAGTAGTGAAGATTTAACTAGTAGCAGCAGTTATAATCAATCATCCCATCTTCCTTGGGCAACAAAAATTCAATCATCTACAGTTCTTCCAGATTCTTAAGAAAACACACACAAACAAAACAAATTTCAAATGATGGTTTCTAATGAATGGCACAGAACTAGCTTATACCATCAGTGCTATCAATGTATTAAAAAAAGAAATTCAAATTGAATAAAGTGTAAAATTATAATATAAAAATTTTGTGTTAGTCAGCCAAAAATCTATTACAGAAAACCAATTAATTTGGTTTGGCTGATTATCACCGACAACAAAAACAAAAATTACAGAAATTTCAAAAAGCACTGATATAGATGGTTGAAAAACGTTTTTCGTATTAGATTTCCCTAGTTGCTGGTTATTTCATCTGACTTTTCGTTGTGATGTTAGCATTGTAAGCAGCACCAAATCAAAGGATTTATTACTGATCAATTTTGTTTTAATCATCACAAGTTTAACAAGGCTTGTTTGCACACAAACATCTGTAAAAGATATATACACAGATAAAGTAAATGTAGAAAATATCACCAAGCCAGTAAAATAATAAAACATAAGCAAACAGAACATTAAGTCTGTCAAAGCCATTACACAATACACACCCAAATGTGAATCTAATTACATTACAAAATCATTCAAATCAATAAACACATTCACCAGAAACTTAAATCCAAAATATCAGCACAAATCAAATGTAATGCAAAGTATATACAATGTAACAATTTTTTTCCAAAGAAATAATTATCCCTATGTCCCCATAAACAAGTTTGATTCTAAGTTTCCAAAGCTTATACCATTTTTTAACTAGAAAGAAAAAACCTAACAAGTAACTTATTCAAGCCCCTAGCAACATTGGGCAACAAAAATTCAATCATCTACTGTTCTTCCAAATTCTTAAGAAAACAAGTCACCTAATTTAAAGTTAAGATTTCTGACAAAGTCCATTATGTATACATATAACAGATTGACACACAAACATGAAGTACAACAATACTTCTCCACATAACATACATCAATAATGATTGTTCTGAGTGGTAATCCAAAGCACAATGTATGTGTATAAAGGAGTGTTCACAATCTATGGTAACGTTACAATGATGCATATGCAGGTCTTACAGCTTCTTCTTCTACCATCTGTAGTGTCCGATGTGATGACCCTGGTTATGAATTATTGCACTACAGCATAGTAACCACACAATGAGGTCAGTATTGTCCCCTTCACTTTACATGCTTTCTAAAGGCCAACAACTTTTCGGGGATTATTTCAGAAACCAAAAGGTACAGAAGTTCAAAGGATATGTTTAAAAATGGTATAGTATGAATTTCTGTTTGAACTTGTATCTTGTGGGAAAAACTGGCATACCGACTTGGTCTTGTAGCTAGGTACTATGTCTTGATGGAGCCACACTAACATGGCATTTCCTTGTGTATAGTGGTGTCAGTACATTAGCCTAATAATATGAAATGTTCACCTTGGTATTTTTCTCGACAGTCTGGTTGTTTAACTTACTATTTTAGTTGTAGCCTGTAATCACCGTAAGTCCCCTGGACAAAAAACTACAAATGTTCTAACTCATTTTTATAATGGTGTACCACTGATAAGATAGTAATAAATTACCCAACTTTAACAGACACTTAAGGATAAGACAATACACTTCCATTTGTTGCATGCTATACATTGCCTGTCGAGCTTTCTACAGTTGGTCTTTTATTTGGTTATGTGATTTGGGAAAAGTTTATGGACACAGTTCTTCTATCCTTTTTGTACAATTAAATTCATAGTTTTAAGGAAGGTTCCTACTTTAGCTACAATACGCTATTGTGTTTTTGAGTTAGTTCTGATGACAAACTGTAAAATATTCTTCATTACTTTTGGTGTATGGGTGGTAGCAAGTCACGTTGTAATCTGCTTTTTACCTTCTAGAATCATGCCTTCTTTGCTTCATCAATGTGGCATCCCTTTTTTAAAATAAAAGTGAAAAAGAAACCAAAGAACAGGTGAACTTCATGTCAGAAAGACCTGTAATGTAACCACTTCATAAAATTTCAACTTTATGCATCACCTGCAAATCACTACACTTCAACTAAATTGCAACAAGAGAGTTAGGGATTTTATGCTATACAGACACAGCCCACAGGATTAGTTATAGGCAAAGGTTCTTGAATGTACAAATTGGTACCATAGATTATGAAAAACCCTCTGTGAGAATCAAAAAGATCCAATCACTCCAATAGATACAAAGTTAAAAAGAATGAGGTGCTTAAGACTGACAATTTTTTTTATTTTCTTGTTTCTATTTCATTGTTTTATCAATTACTGGTTAGTTAAACAATCTTATTGTATATTTAAAATAACAAAATTGTCACAGGGAGTAAGAGATCAAATATGCATACCTTAATTCTTTCTCTACTAGTTAGGTTTTAGATATTTTTTTCAATAATTGCCAGAAAAGATTAATCATATTACAAAATAGATCATTAGAAACTTTGATTTAATAATTACACAAAAAATGTTCTTAACCAAGGATAAGCTTGATGGAGATTGATATTTTACATAGCTTTAGTGAAAAATAATAAGAATTTTAACTACCACATGGAATTTTATACGAATTTATAAGAAGATAAAGGATAGGAAAAGTTTTAAATAAGTCAAAAAGTATAGTATTCCATACCTCTGTTTTCTGTAAATTTTAAAAGAAGTTCCAACACAGGAGCCACATCAAAGTAAGCTGCATAATGTACAGGGCCCATATCAGTCCATCTACACCGTAAAGAAATGTCTGCTCCTTTGTCTAATAAAAGTGCAGTTGTTCGCGTGGCCACCTGTACATCCCCAACCCCAGTAGCTCCTGCTTTGCATGCATAATGTAAGAGAGTCATATCAGTTAGACCATCTCGATCATTGATATGAGCACCCCGTTTTAAAATCTGAAAGATATTAATTTGCATATTCTCAACTGCTAGTGTGCAAATGCTATTACAACAATAATTTTATTATTACGTGTATATAAGTGAATTAAAGAATACTATAAATAATGCAAGTTTTCAAAATATTTTATATCAAGAAGGCACTATACCATGTCAAGAATACATTTCCATTTGTGCTCCCTCTACAACTTTTGTTCATACAATGAGATGTTCTTCCTAACTTTTTAAGTTCAATATAATATGAAAATTATGTGCTCTGAAATTTTCTATGTGTTTTATGCTTTTAACTTGACTATCTAAAGCCATTAAGTTTCTTAAATTTATCTTACACACAATTTTTGATTGAACCTGTAACAAATAACCTTTTCTTGACAATGCACTCATGAAATTTGATCTAAGTACAATTCAACTAAGACATTCACAAAATTAATTATTTCCGATAACAGAATGATGTTAGAGTAAGGACTAAATATATTTACTAAAAACTCTATAGTGTACAATCAACAAAAGTACAACAACAATGATAAACAATTTTAATAACAATTCTAATAGACAGATTTAAAACACTATTTATTTGAAGCTTGCTTAAACCTCTCACTACAGGTAGGCCAAAGTGTGCACATCACAATATTTTGCAATTACATCCAAATTTCAATTAAACTACTTTATTATTCATGTATATAAATAAACTTAGCATTAAAATGTAGTTCATAATTCATATTTTAATATTATATACATTTTAACTTAAGTTTTAAAAAAATATTCAAATAAATCCCCATTCTGCCCTCATATGAAAATAGACATTTGTTTTCTAGCTCTTCCCCATTCTCTAATTTATTTACCACACCTCTCTGAAGTATGAAATTTAATGTAATTTACTCATTACAATAGAGATATTACTAAGGCAAAGTCTTCAATCTTCATCATGAACTAGAAAATCAGACCCCTTTGCCATGACTCACCTATCAAATCCTCTCTTTTACAAATAGTAAATAATTCTCTGACATTTTATATCCTTTACAACCAACAGAATATATCAATACTCTGTTTTTAGTAGAGTATTGTCAATTATGCCTTCAGATTGAAAGTTTATCTAGCATTTAATGGAATTATTTTAAGCCCCTCTTGTCTTAGTTAGAAAGCCAATTAAGTTATAATAGTTATAGGGCATTGTTTGCTTTGTGCATGTTATTATTCTGTGTTCTTATTTCTTTGAGCATGGGCTCAGTCCCTGGGACCTATCTAGTAACCATTTTGTGCTTGTAATAATTTTCATGCTATAACATTGAAATTAGTAAGCTAATGTTCACAAATTTAGCAGATTATCAGTAAACATTACAATGCTTTCATACGCAAAATATCAGTTTTTGTTAATAAATCTTAAGGTTTGTTAAGCAATGTTTTTCTTGTGCCCTTTTTTCTTTTCGTATGTTGCCTATCCAACATACAAAGTAACTTTCATTTTAAGATAAAAAATAATTTTGTGTATCAGAAAATTTTAAAATTTCACTTGTGAAATCCTTACAATGTCCAGATAGTTATCAAATGTTTTTTAAGAAAAACTTTATATTTTATGTTAATTTCACTAACAGATCTCTGTATGGATTCAGTTGATTTGACCAATCACGTAATCACCATAAAAAATTCAGAATTAAATATAAATAAAAAGAAATAAATGCCTTTTTCATTTTAGGATGACTACAAATTATAACACAAAAACATAAATGTTTGGACTAAATAGCTTAAATCTCATAACATTATACATTTATATATATTTATTATTTTTATTATATTGACCTTTCAGCTGTGCCTGGCCAACAATGACATGGCACACGTGCACTAATGTTACCGTAGCCAATTATACAAAACTGACCTTTAGTGTTTACAAAGTGACCTGTCTAGTCTGTGTTTTAGTGGACTTGTATTTTGTAAAATACAGTCACATTTCAATTATTATACATTATACATGTATATAGAATATTACTATTTACAAACAACTTCTTAAACTTATTTTTCTTAAAACACAGAACAGAAAATAAAGAAGTAAAGCAAACAATTAACTCTTCTAGTTACGACCTTTATACTCGGTTGCTGCTTGTCATACCTTGCTAAGCCTTAAGAAATTTTGCACGTGGAGAATGTGAAACAAAATAATGTTTTTTAGGTTATATAAATATAGTTGAATAACCAAAAAATTATATATTACTATATCAATACCATAGAATTCCGTTATAATTTATCAAGTATAGTAACTAACCTGTATTTGGGTCTAAATAAATATGAAATTTCAAACAGGCTAAAGACTCAACTTACCAGCACGAAGGTTTGTCTCAAAATAAAGCAGTTATATTTGAAAATGGTTGAGAAAGCCACTAGGGGGATATTCTGAGCTTTTGATTGGTTATTCACATGTCATATATAGAAGT